TCTAATTTCATAAGTCTTTCATCCATTTTGATTTTACTTTCGCAGAAAAAAATATTAACTACTGAGCATTGGGCTATAGCCCAGGAAAAGCGCTTGCTTGGAATGCGTGAGGAACTGGGTTTGATCCTTAGCACCACATAAAAATAAACAAATAAAATAAAGGCTGTCCTCTACAACTACAAAAATAAAAATAAAAAAGAAAGAAAGAAAGAAAAGAAATATTAACTACTGAAATTTCAGAACATCAAGAATAAGAGGAAACTTTAGATAAGACATTTACGTTAGATACAGATAATGTAGAGGAGGAAAGGTTATCAGACTTGTCAATAATCTCTTAGAAGCTAGATTATAATCAATGACTTCAAAATGAAGAAAACATATTTGCAACCTTGAATTTTATACCCAAACTATAAAGGTCTATTTTTAAAAATATCTTTAGTTGTAAAAGGACACCACACCTTTATTCCATTTATTTATTTTTATTTGGTGCTAAGGATCAAACCCAGTGCCTCACACATGCTAGGCAAGCCCTTTACCATTGAGCTACAAACCAAGCCCACAGGGTGTATCTTTTTTCGAACACACAAGGTCTACAAAAATTTACTCTACAAAAATTTACCCATGCACTCTTTTCTCAGGAAGCTAATTAAGAATATGTTCCACCAAATCAAAGAAAGAAGATGACAGGAGATTCAAGAAATAAAGGAATTAACATAGAAGAGAAAATGAAGGAATCTCTAAAAAAATTGTGAAGACATCCCAGAATGGTAGTTGTGAAGCAGGCCTATAAGATAAACAGTGGTAGGCTGCTTGTGATAGGCTGAGGCAGGAGAATCAAGGCCAGTCTGGGAAACTTAACAAAACCCTGTCTCAAAATTAAAAGTAAAAAGGGCTGGGGATGTAGCTCAGTGGTAAAATGCCCTGGGTTGAATCCTGAGAACTCAGGGGTGGAGGGTGGAGTGGGGAGGGGGGCTAGTCATGAAATAGCCGAGATGTTGAAACAAAGAGGAAAAATAGTGTGAGAAAATTAAATCCTCATTTTCATAGAGATAAAGCATAAATAAAAAATATTTACAACATTTAAATGAAGAAATCAGTGTTAATTGTGCTACTTGGAAATATGAGGACAAGGAGCTAAAAAACAGCTGTGATTTGAAAGGGACTACTTCTTAAGAACAGGATTCAAGCCAGGTGCAATAGTATATGTCTGTAATCCCAGTGGCTTGGGAGGCTGAGGCAGGAGGATTATAAATTCAAAACTAGCCTCAGCAAAGTATCGAGACCCTGACTCTAAATAATATATATATATAATATGGCTGGGGATGTAGCTCAGTGGTTAAGCACCCCTGGGTTCAATCTCCAGTACCAAAAAAAAAAAAAAAAAAGAGCAGTATTCAAAGATGTGGAGGAATACAGCAGAGAAGCTATTTAACTTTTTAAGACTATTACATCCGTAACTTTAAAGATTAATCCTAAAAACTAGATGTGGTGACACAGACCTATATTCCCAGTTACTCCTGAGGCAGGAGGACTGCAAATTCATAACTAGCCTGGGCAACTTAGCAAGATCCTGTCTCAATATTTAAAAAGAAGGCTGGGAATGTAACTCATGGTAGAGTACCCATGGGGTTCAATACCAAGTACTACAAATAATAATTACTATAAATTTGGGTAGTAACATTTTAACCTAAAATGGTTTATCATATCTCAAAGATTAGGTAAAAATACATATAAAGCAAAAATAAGACATTACTCAGTTTATTGTTTTATGTCTCTGGTACTCCCCTTAGATGCCATTCCGTACCTCCATTTAAAAAACAAACTATGTATATTTATTTCTCTTTTTTAAAATTTTAATTAATTTTTTGGTGCTAGGGATTGAACCCAGAGCCTCCGGCATGCCTCTGTCACTACATACATTTTTATGAACTCAAATAATTATATATTTTCTTGCCAATCTTCATCTTGACCTATATAATTATTGACTACATTGAAAAGAAAAACTGGTTCTGCTTCTTTTTGTTGTAAACAAATTTTAAAATTATGAATGTGAACATTTGAAACATACACTAATAAAAGTCTACCAGTATAAGTACAGGTTTTTCCAAGTGGGTTGTTGTTATTGCTGTGTTTGTTTGATACCAGAGATAGAACTCAGGGGGCTTTACCACTGAGCTACACTCCTAGTCCTTTTTATTTTTGAGACAGAGTCTTACTAAACTGCTGAGACTGGCCTTGAATTTGCAATCCTCAGTCTCCTGAGCCACTGGGATTACATGCATGCATCACTGTGCCCAGTCCAAGCAGGGCTTTTAAAAAATGCTTGAAGGGCCATTATTTGAGAACTATGTTCCATGATTTTTTGATCTATGTGTAATTTAATGGCCTATGTATGATTCTTCATTTATTTAATTTGTTCATATAACAAACCTTTACAGATCTTCTTAAATTTGAGAAACCATACTAAATTCTGAATTTCCTGAAACCTGTAATATTCTCAATTGTACTTCAAGGTTCTGTAATGTGCTTAATCCAGCAATATTGGGGGGAAGGGAAGGCAGTACTCAGGATGAAACCCAGAGTCTTCACATATTTAACACCGGCAATTCTTTCTTAGAGAAAAATTCAAATCTAACTACAGAATTTATTGCTTATGGATCAATATGGAAACCAAATGCACACAAGGTTCCTAAATTCAACATTCTGAAGAAAATTTATATTATCTTTTCTGATTTTTTTGCTTTCCAAAAAAATCCGATAGATATCATGCCAATGTTAAAAGGGGAAGAGGCTCCATCTTCTGCATGCTTCAGAAACTATACTTACCGAGCAAGTATTAAAAGTATAGCAATAGCCAGATGCAGTGGTACATGACTGTACTCCCAGTGTCTCAGGAGGCTAAGGCAGGAGACTCCAAGTTCAAAGCCAGCCTAAGCAACTTAGTGAGGCCCTAAGTAACTCAGCGAGACCTTGTCTCTAATACAATATAAAAAGGGGCTGGGGGCTGGGATTGTGGCTCAGTGGTAGGCACTTGCTTAGGACCTGTGAGGCACTGGCTTTGATCCTCAGCACCACATAAAAATAAATAAATAAAATAAAGCTGTTGTGTCTGCCTACAACTAAAAAAATTTTAAAAATAAAAATAAATAAATAAAAGGGGGTTGGGGACAAATGGGCCAAGGACCTGAACAGACACTTCACAGAGGAGGACATACAGTCAATCAACAAGTACATGAAAAAATGCTCAACATCTCTAGCTGTCAGAGAAATGCAAATCAAAACCACCCTAAGATACCATCTCACTCCAGTAAGATTGGCAGCCATTAGGAAGTCAAACAACAACAAGTGCTGGCGAGGATGTGGGGAAAAGGGTACACTTGTACATTGCTGGTGGGACTGCAGATTGGTGCAGCCAATTTGGAAAGCAGTATGGAGATTTCTTGGAAAGCTGGGAATGGAGCCACCATTTGACCCAGCTATTCCCCTTCTTGGTCTATTCCCTAAAGACCTAAAAAGAGCATGCTACAGGGACACTGCTACATCGATGTTCATAGCAGCACAGTTCACAATAGCAAGACTGTGGAACCAACCTAGATGCCCTTCAATAGATGAATGGATAAAAAAAAATGTGGCATTTATACACAATGGAGTATTACTCTGCATTAAAAAATGACAAAATCATAGAATTTACAGGGAAATGGATGGCATTAGAGCAGATTATGCTAAGTGAAGCTAGCCAATCCCTAAAAAACAAATGCCAAATGTCTTCTTTGATATAAGGAAAGTAACTAAGAACAGAGTAGGGACGAAGAACAGGAGAAGAAGATTAACATTTAACAGGGATGAGAGGTGGGAGGGAAAGGGAGAGAGAAAGTAAATTGCACGGTAATGGAAGGAGACCCTCAGGGTTATACAGTGGAGGGGGTAGAGAGAGAAGAGGGGAGGGGAGGGGAGAGGTGGGGAGGGGGGAGGGTGGATGATGGGAAAGGCAGCGGAGCACAACAGACACTAGTATGGCAATTTGTAAATCAATGGATGTGTAACTGATGTGAATCTGCAATCTGTGTATGGGGTGAAGGTGGGAGTTCATAACCCACTAGAATCAAAGTGTGGAATATGATATGTCAAGAAATTTGTAATGTTTTGAACAACCCACAATAAAAAATAAAAAAAAAAAAAAAAAAAAAAAAGGGGGTTGGGGATGCGGCTCAGTGGTTAAGTGCCCCTGGATTCAATCCCTGGTACCAAAAAGAAAAAAAAAAAAAGAAAGAAAGAAACAATTAGAAAAAAAAGTCAAGGGACTGAAGATATAGCTTAGTTGTAGAGCACTTGCTTAGAAGGCCCTGGGTTTGATTCCCAACACTTACTTGAACTCTGCGGACTACAGTGACATCCGCAATGAAAAAAACAGTACCCACCAATATACTTGGTACTAAAATGTGCCGAAGAATGAATAAAACAATTCTTTGTAATGTTGGCTATATTCTCTAGCCAATAGAATACGAATATATCATATTCTATTATGTGTCAGGGGTTTTTGTTTGGTGTTTTTTATTTTTGGTGTTTCTGAGGATTGAACTCAGGACCACGGGCATGCTAAGGAAGCTACATCCTCACCCCTTTTTATTTTAAGACCGTGTTTCACTAAGGTGGAGGGAGTCAGGCCTTAAATTTGTGATCCCCCTGCCTCAGCCTCCCGAATAGCTGGGATTACAAGCAGGAGTCTGACTCAATACGTCAGATAAGATCTGTGTTGTAATTTTTGTGTCCCCGGAGCTGAGGGAAAGGGGGATTTCAAGAAATGGTGCTTTTCTGGGAGGGGTCACAATAGGACCCGCATCCACCTTCTTACCAACAAAACTTCCAGGCTACCGTCAGTCCTCTTTGAAAACTACATGTTCTGAAGAGTAGTCAATTCTTATTAGAAAAAGACATTTTTCATTAGCAGGCGCTTCCCACTCCATGCAAAATGACGCCAAAACCAAAACCACAGACTTGGCTAATTCGAACGCAAGTAAATTTATTATTACTGGCCCAAATTACCCACTTTCTTTTGCTGCGCAGGCCAATATCCACAACCACACTGACGCCTCCTATAGGGCGAACGTCGTCGCACCAGTAGCCGGTGGGAAGCCCAGCGATTCTCAGCCAGAACAGGGAGAATGAAATTTGTGCACTGCAGTAATCCAAACACCTCGAATAGATCTCCGCCTTTAAAAGCTGCATTCGGTAAGAAATGCTGTGAATTTTTCATATTACAAGCTGGGGAAACAAGTCTCCCGAGCCCTTCTTCAAATGCTACGACCACTTCCAATACCCACCCCACCCCCGCTCAGACCCACATCCGACCCGGCTCTGAGAGGTCACAGCCAAGAGTTCAGCCGCTTCCAGCGCGGGCCTTTAAAGCAGCGGCGCGGCAGTGGGGCTGCCCCGGAGTTCAACTTCCGGCCACAGAGTGAGAGGATGTTTTCCTACTGGAGCTGAGGCCGCGGAGACGCGCCCTAGCCACGCCCCCGGCCACGCCCGCCACGCCCGGCTTTCGGGACTCAAGCTGGCACCCGCACGCGGGAGGGACGGGGCTACGTGGGCGGCTGCTGCGGGTTCGCCTTCGCCCCGCATAGCTCAGTCGCGCGGGGGCACGCCCCGATCGGGCGGAGGGCGCGGTGGCGGCGGCGCGCGCGCTCCCGGTGCCCTCCCCGGTGACGTGCCTGGCCAGGGCCGCGCTAGGGCGCTGTAACTGCCAGTGCCGCTGTCATGGCGTCGGAGGCGCTGGCTGAGGAGTGCTGGCCGCGGTCTCTATAGAGCCAGGGGCGGGCGGCCGGCCGGGTATGGAGAGCGGCCCCGAGAGCCTGCTGCCGCTAGAACACGGGGTGGCGGCCGGGCCAGGGCCGGGAACAGGTACTCCCCCAGAAGGACTACAGGAGACCAGGCTTGCCGCTGGAGATGGTCCTGGAGTACGGGCGGCGGAGAACGGCAGCGGGAATGGGCAGGGGGCGGCGGCTGCCAGAAGCCCCCCAGACTCGGCTTCTCCCGCAGGCTCTCCTCAGACTCCTGGACTCTGCAGCTCCTTCCCGGGCTTGGACTTGAAGGAGAGCGTTTTGGAGCGTCCTGCTCCCGCGAAGGCGCCTCTGAGAGGGCAGCACAAGGTGACCGCCTCCCCCGAGACAGCCGAGGCCGTTGCGGGCCTTGGTTTGGGTCTGGCCGGAGACTCGGGGCCCCGCCTGGATCCTGCCGACACCTGCGGAGCAGAACTGGCGACCGCCGGCTCCGAGGAGCCCCGCAGCGCTGGCGGCCTCAGCAGCAGTTGCAGCGACCCGAGCCCTCCTGGGGAATCGCCAAGCCTGGACTCCCTAGAGTCGTTCTCTAACCTGCATTCTTTCCCCAGTAGCTCCGAATTCAATAGTGAGGAGGGATTAGAGAACAAGGTTCCCGAGGAGGAGGAGGGCGCGGCAGTATTGCCTCGGGCTGCCCCTCTGTGCAGAGAGGAGGAGGAGGACACCGCTCAGGTGTTGGCAGCCTCCAAGGAACGCTTCCCGGGACAGTCTGTGTATCACATCAAGTGGATCCAGTGGAAGGAAGAGAACACACCCATCATCACCCAGAATGAGAATGGACCCTGCCCTTTGCTGGCCATCCTCAATGTTTTGCTTCTGGCCTGGAAGGTACATTCTGCAGCTTTCTACTTCCTACCGTTTCTGGGGAGGGGCAAAATGGGGTGAGGAAGCTATTGCTTGTCAGCTGATAGCTTCTTCCTTTCTTCATTCATCAGTCCTCTTTTCTTCTTGGATGAAATTCATTCCAGGAATCCTTTGTTGAAAGAATATTCATGTTCATATATATATGTATATGTGTATATATATATATATATATATATATATATATATATATATGTTTATCATGTATGTGAATAGCATATACATGTCATATGTGTTGATCATACATATACATCGTGTGTGTGTTGTATACACACACATCTATCTCAGGAAGAATTGCACTTAACTTCAAATCTGTTTAGTAGTGTTTAAATAAGAGTTCAACATTCAGTTTAATGTTGTGGTTGATATACTGTACTTACAAACAAGTAGGGCTTAAACCGCCCTAAACCTAAAGTTATTTTTAACCGATGTTTTCCTGTAGTATTGCTTTGTATTGGCTTTATAACATAGGCAAAAAAAAAAAAAAAGTGAAGAGTTGGAGAAGGTGATCTTCAGAATTTACCATCAATCCATGATATCATGGAATAAGTTTTGATGGTTAAGTTTAGTCTATTTTCCAAATAATTCTTGCCCCATTTGGATACTTAAGGGAATGGTTATAAGGAAGATATGACCCTTTAGAGAAATTCTTCCTAAGTAAAAGAGGTTGGGACCTCCAACCTTGGCTAAAGGTCTCAACATTGATCTGAGACCTAATTACCATAATTTCTAGTTTTTCAAAGACTGATTTTATTTTATGCATGATTTTTACTTCCCTCCTTTCTTTGGCTGTACTTAAAAGGTTTGGCATTATTGCCTGTAATCATACATCAGAACGTATTGAAGGAGCTAAAACTATTAACAACTGAAATAAAATATATATCTAAGATAATGGAGCAAAAAAGAGAAGGGTAAGTATGTTGAAGACTCAGAATGAGTAACCTGTAACCTGTGTCTTGTGTAAGTTAGCAGTTTCAAAGTGCTGAGGAATTGCATCTCATACCACTTATTTTATTTTCAAAATGTTAATTATATTTATAGATAAAATATTCTCTAGGAAAACAATAGCTTGGATTATTCTGATCAGTTAGGAAGAAAATCAAGTAAAGCAGGTAATATTTATATATGTTGTATCTTCCTATTGCTAGCAAGGCTGATACAAAGGATGTAAGATTAGAATCCTTTCCATTATCTGGTTTTTAATGGCACTTGGATATTTTGAGTGAAGACAGGTGCCTGCTTTTTTTTTTAGGGAACTGGGTATTGAGCCCTGGGGCACTCTTTCACAGAGCTATGTTCCCAGCTTTTTTTATTTTAATTTTGAGACAGGATCTCACTGAGTTGCTGAAGCTGATCTCAAACTTTTGATCCACCTGCTTCAGCCTCCCAAGTCATTGGGATCCTGGTGTCTAGCCAGTGCCTGCTCTAGAAGAGCTATCAAGATATTTGGGATTGCTGTGTTTATTTATGTAATATTATTAAATAATACTAAATATTAAGTTATATGGAACAAATGGGAATGTACTAGATATTCAAAAATGAGAAATTTTCCTTTGGTTTGGCACAGTCCCAGAAAGCTTCATGGGATTAATAGGTCTTGTACCAAGCTTTTAAGGAAAAAAGGATTTAGGATAACAGGGAAATGTATTTCCTAAAGGGGAGAATAATATAAACAAAAGGAATGCAAATAGAATGGATAGTGTGTCTGTGTTTGTGTGTGTTTATTAGAAATGGTGATGTTCATATTGCTAAGTTTATACTGAAGAATAATAAAAATGAAAAGGTGTAGAAGACCTACTTGATGGAGGCTTTTGACCAGGGAATTAAAACTTGATTCTGTGAGCCATTCTCTTTTGTAAGAAGGAATAATTATTTAGTTTCCTTTAAGATTTTCTCTCTTCTTAGTTTCCATATAGTACTGCAGAACTTCAGAGGAAGAAGCAAATACTGTGTGGCCTGGAGTACTTGGGGATAGATGAGCTTTGAAATGACTCTGAAAGACTGATTTGAGTATATGATCACATCTTTGGGTTTCCACTATGTGTAAGGTACTATAGAAATGCAGAGAAGAGTATAAAACAAATTTTGTCTTTGTTCAAAAGAGGAGGCAGATATATAAACAGTAATTGCAGAGCAATGTGAGAAACTCTAGTGTATTATGAAAATACAGAGAAAAGGTAATTGGGGATTCATGGGAAACCTTCATAGAAGAGAACCTTATGAACCATGTCTGTAGGATGAGTAAGAGAAAGCCTTCTAGGCAAAGCATACATTCAAAGACTCTAAAGCTTTTAGAAAAAGGTTTGTTCTCTTTGGGACCTCCAACCTTGGCTAAAGTGCAGTGTGCAGAGAAGGAAGGAAAGAGGAACAGCAGGACAGAAAATTGATAGGTCTTGTTAGGCTGTGGATCAGCAGGCATGCAAATGAATTTGAAGAGTATTTTGTAAAAAGGCAGTCTTTTTTCCTGCATTTAGTCTATGTGCACAAAAGTCTGTCATCAGTAGTCATTAACTGATAGGGAGATGGATAAGAGAAGCAAAGTAAAGCAGTATCTCAAAGTAAACCAGGAATTCTAGAGGTTGAAACTATCTTCATAATAATGATGTTATTTGCCTTTTTGAAGTTTTGGCTGCTTGATTGGTGATAAGTTGCCAATTGCTCTGACAGTTAATGGAATGTTATCTACATATTCTTTTTTTATTTTTAAAAGAGAGAGAATTTTTTTAATATTTATTTTTAGTTTTCGGCGGACACAACATCTTTATTTTACTTTGTGGTACTGAGGATAGAACCTAGTGCCCTGTGCTTGCCAGGCGAGCGTGCTACCGCTTGAGCCATATCCCCAATCCCCATCTATATATTCTTGTGTTTTAAATTTTTCTAAGTTTTGCCAGGCAAAACTATATATTCTCAGCAACTCCAGAGGCAGAGGCAGGAGGAACACAAGTTGGAGGCTAGCATTGTCAGTTTAGTGAGATTTGCTTATCCACTGAGCCTCATCCCCACCCCTTTTTATAAGTTTTATTTAGAGTCATGGTCTCACTAAGTTGATGAGGCTGGCTTTGAACTTCCAATCCTCCTATCTCAGACACCCGAGTAGCTGGGATTATAGGCATGTGCCACTGCACCTGGCTTTAGTGAGACCCTGTCTTAAAATAAAAATAAGGGCTAGGGATGTAACTCAGTGGTAAAGCAACCCCAAGTATAATCACCAATACTGAAAAATGTTTTTTTCCCCTCAATTTTAATTTCTAATATGGTAAATAGTAACAGATAAAATTCACATAGACAAAAACTCTTTGGGATCCTCAATAATTTTTAATGACTCTGAGGACATACACACATACACACACACACACTCACACACTCACTTTTTTTTTGTAGTGTTGGGGAAGGAACCCAAGGCCTTATACACGCTAAGCATGTGCCCCTGAACTACATCCCCAGCCCCACATTTTTATTGAATCCAGGGCCTTGTGCATGCTAAAGTAGGAGGCTCAACCACTAAGCTATGTTCTCAGCCCCAAGATTGTAGTGAATGTAATAGAAAAAATTAATAAGGATAGCTTTTTTGTTTTGTTTATTTTGGCTGTGCCGGGGGTCAAATCCAGGGCCTAGCACATGCTAGGCAAGTACTCTACCTCTGAGCTACATCCCTAGCTCTAAGCATAGCTTTTTTTTTTTTTTTTGATACATAATTCTTTGCTTTGCCTTTTCTCTTTAATGAAGGAAGGTACTAGTGATGAATTTATCACTAACTAGATATAAGAAATGAAGGCTGCCATGGGATATGCCTGTAATTCCAGCTACTCAGGAAGCTGAAGCAGGAGGATCCCAAGTTCAAGGTCAGCCTGGCAACTTGGCAAGACTCTGTCTCGATAATAAAATTTTAAAGAAGGCCTGCGGCTGTAACTCAGTGCCAGAACACTTGCTTAGCATGTGCAAGGCCCTGAGTTCCCCAGTACCACCAAAAAAAAAAAAAAAAAAAACAATGAAGGAGATGTCATTCTTTTTTTTTCAAATTTGGATAATACCTATTTGTTGGATCTTTCATAAGATAGGAAGGGTGTAAATGCAATAATTTTAGATGGAAAAGTTGATGGCAAAGTTTGCTGTGTCAAGTTAGAAATGTCTAATAGAGGGACATAAAAATATTATGCCTCCAGGAGCATGGACTGGGTCTCAGGAAAGAGGTAAAAATTATAATAGAGACTGAATTTGGGGATTATTGCATAGATCTGAGTATGTATCTATGAGAATAAATGAATTCTCCATGGAAAGTGATAAGCTATAGTTCTCAATATTTTTCTGCCTCAACATGTAGCAATTAGAAACATCCTACCTACCTTGCCTCTGTTTCCCCAGTTCCTCCTTTACCCCATTCTCCAACAGGTAAAGAGAAAACAGGATTAAAGATTAAAAAGGTGTGTTAGAAGTAAGAGAATCGAAAAAAAATTACCACATGTACAATTTGAAATGTGGAATGAGAAGAAGAAATAGGACAGTGTCGTGAGAGTAGTCAGGGAGAGAAAATGTAATAGGAAAATGGTTTGTTACCATTGTCAAATGCAGCAAAATCAAGGAACAGATGGAGTAGGAAAGATTTTGCCAAAAAAGGACCGGTATGGGGACAAGGTCACAGGGAACAGGAAATACAGGTCTTCAGAATAGGTGGTACAGTCTCTAGAGAAAAGGAACACCAATTTCAGTTTCTGAAGGATTGGGACAAGGATGATACAGACTGATCATATTAATATAGTGAGATAGATGGAGTGTGGAACCTCACATTTTCCATTGTGGCAGAGTAACTATTGAACTCATCAGTAATTAAGGAGAGAAAGAGAGACATTATAAAGCATCGAAGGGATAGATTTTAAGTACTTTGCATTTTAGAGAAGTTTCTTTTCTTTCTTTTTTTTTTGTATTACGGATTAAACCCAGGGGCACTTAACCACTGAGCTACATTA